TTTGATTTTATATGATTTGGCTCACAATTAAAAAAGCAAATTGATAAATGAAAAATTTCTCCTTTGATCTTAAACCACCTTAAACCATCTGTGGTGGTATATACCTTTAATCCCAGAGCTTCAGAGGCTGTGGCAAGAGAGTTCTAGGCTAGCCTGAGCTATAGAGTAAGAACCAATCTCAAAAACTAAAACAAAACATCAAGCAAATGCTGGAGCTTAGTTCAGTGGTAGAGCCTTGTAGTGGGGTCTCAGCGCTTTCCTTGTTTATGGTGTCAGAGAGAAGATGGTTGACTTTGGACATTTCTCTAAGTTTTAAATGTTTATTTATTTGCATATGGTGTGTGAAGCAGGCACGTGTGTAGGTCAGAGGACAACTTGCAGAAGTCAGTTTTCTCCTTCCTGCCTGTGGTGCCTGGGATCAAACACAGCTGTTCAGGCGAGCCTCTTTACTGGCTGAGCCATCTTGTCGGTTCATTCCTCCAGTTCTGCTTTTGTCATTCTCCCTTCTAACACTAAGGAGAAATCCTACGAAAGGGAGATTCACGTTTACTTAACTAGGTGTAAGATTGTCTTTTCAGACAAGTGTCTTTTAATGAGCTTTGAGTGGTGTTAATATGAAATATCAGCTGTCGACTGTTTTACAGTGGTGGTGGCCGTATGTACATCCTTTACCAGATGGGATGTCTGCCTTCAGAGTATAGAACAACTTTCCCTAGTCAATCAAATTCATCCTAACCATCCATTATCTCTCTTGCCGGGTTCATTGTAACCAGATGCACCATTTCCAGCAGTAGTCATCATTCTTAATAAAAGTCCAGTGGTGTGTTTTCTTCCCTTTCATCCCGTTACAAATCGAGCCTGACGGTGGCCCATTAACTGCATCTTATAATCTACTAATGCATTGTCTTGCCAGTAGTTTGAATAATGCTGACATAAATAATAAATATGCAAACAAAAGACATTCACAGAGCGGGAAGTGCTGGAGTACATAAAAGGAAGACACAGGAGGCAGCTGTGGGGAGGGATGAAGTTCTGAGTGGAAGTGAGTACCAACAAGACCATGGCCAGGCTGAGTACCCGTAGCAACGGCAGAGCGTTTCCCTGGACAGCCTCAGACAAATGTCAGAGCCTTCCTCCGGTCCAACTGAATGTTGAGGAATGGTAAACCTTTAGCTAAAACCAGTGAATGCAGAAACTGTCAACCACAGCTTCCTCCTCCTCCTCCTCCTCGATATTTACAGCTTGAGACTGCTCCCCTTACACCACACCTCCTACCCAGATTACCCAATCCACCTCCTCATTCCGCTGTAAACAGTAAACCTACCACCTCGCTCAGTGATAGACAATAAACACACTGAGTTCTGGGTCTGCTGATGCGGTTCCATCAGAATGCATGGTCCACTCAATCCCAGCTTTTCAGTATGTGTGTCTGTCTTTTTTCATTCCCTGGTAACCCCAGTCATGTCAAGGTCTGAAGCTGTGCAGGTCTTGGGGGCAGCAGCAAGGGACAGGATAGAGGGATGGGACAGCTATAAGATAAAGTGCCTCACAAGGTGACTGTAGTTCAGAACATAGTTACTGTATTGGTGCATGCCTATGACCTCAGCACTCAGGGAGAATCAGGAACTCAAGGTTATAGTGAGTTCGAAGTCAGCCTGGGTCTCAAAAAAGTGAAATAAAATGGACAAATCAATGAAAACTAGTGTAGACTTGAAATTTGCTGACGATGGAGCTCAAGGATCCTACACAGACACACACAGACACACACACACACAGGATTCTACACACATACACACACACACAGAGGGGATGCTACACAAAAACACAGAGGATTCTACACACACACACATACACACACACA